TGGTTTTAACTTTAATTGTTTTAAAGATATGTTAACATATGTTCTTCTGAGAGTGAGGTGCTGGAATCAAAATCAGTGGGATATATTAAGTCCCTGATGTAGGTCTGTTGTGAAACTCTTCCTTATTTCTGCAAAAAGGGATCCCGTATGTAGATGCTCTCCTTCATGTGGCTCCTGTGGCCTGGAATCCACACTGGGTCCCTCCTTCCCCAATTCCCTAGGCAGGGGTCAGTAAGATCTCTGCTGTAACTATATCTAAATGCAGGTCTTGTTTCCCACTTACTGGGTTGTCATACCATGTGATGGAGAGCAGGTTTTGTTTGTCAACAGCCATCCTGGTCCCCAGATTGCACTCTTCCAATGGCAAGCACAGGATAACACACTGAAACCAGAAGCTGAGGATCAAGGGTCATACATTTTTTGTGGCAACTCTCTCTGGGGAAACAGGACATCTCTGTCCCACTCCAGCTCAGCTCATGACAGTGTTATCGTCCGAGAGGAGAGTGTTATCGAGGGTGGGGTGTTTCCTGTGTTATGGTGTGGGGCTGGATAACATTGACAGCAACTAAAATAGGAGGCAGATCTCACAGCAGAGGAATTAGTTTTATACATTATGAAACAACAGCATTCAGCTCACCCTCTGTGCTATATATACTGTGCACAGCTAGCTGGGCGCACAACAAGGGTCATTTTTCTTTACATTGTTTACATTATTCCACCACACTAACTACATCTCATAACCCTACATAATTTTGCTTCACCACAAAACATAGTATGGCATCTTAGATTGTCCTTAGTCAGTACTGTTAGATCCTGTGAGCTGAAAAATTATAGAGAAGTTTATTGCCAGATGATAGCAAGAAATTAAATGCAAATTTAATTAAATAAAATGCAAATTTTAATTTTCCCAATTGCTACAAAATCTCAAGAAAATAAAAGAGGATTATTTTAGATTGTGGCATCAGTGCTTAGTAAGTGTTGAAATATTAGTAGGAGACCAGAGATTGGTCCAGATAGCTGAGGGTAGAGGCCAAGCCAAGTGTGTCTGAAACCCTCGAATTTAAACACTAAGCAGGGCTTTGGGAAGGGTCTGTGTTTCTTAAAGGACTTTAGAGAAAAGCCTTTCTTTAATCTTGACAATTAAAAATTAAAAACACTGAACAAAAAACCGTCAAGTGCAGGGTGAAGAACAGCAGCAGTACAGCTCACTCCTTTACATATTACACTGAGTACAGCATTTGCTGTTCTGACACAAGCAACACTACCTTACTGGCCACATGTGTGTTGGAGTTTGGGTCAAATCCCTTGGAGCTGGTGGCTACATGAGCTGCTTCAACACAGGATCACTGTAAAGAGGTGACTTGCACTGTGAAATAAGAGAACTAAAATGATGTTTATCTCCTCTCCTAATGCTGGCATGCATTGTCAAAGATGCTTTTTCTATCTCAGACACCCAGGAGTTTGTGCTGCCTGTAGGTGCTGCTGGCAAAGTGAGCAGGGTGAAATGGGAGGAGTAGTGTGACCATGACTCTATGACAATGTGACCTTGATTAATTTCTGTGTAGAAAGGTACATGTGCAGCCCCAACAGCCATCCTGGTCCCCAGGATGTCAAATGTTTTGAGAGGATGGCACTCTCTAAGAGGCCAGAATCTTTGAGGCAGGAAGCAGCAAGGGTGCATCAGGCATCAGATTAGTGTATGCAGGGACATGTGCATGCAATCCATCTGAAGGGAAGACCACACAATACATCCTTTTCATCTCTCTGCCAGCTGGAAGAGGCTTGGAGCCATGATATGGCAGCTTGGGATTTGAAAACTGCTTGTCTTCTGTGTCTGTACACATCTGCTATCTTGGCAGGTTAGGGCATGATCAATTTTTGGCTTACCTTCAGCAATACACAAATAATCCAGGATGTTCTTTGACAGTATTGATGATCGCTTTCTCATGCAAGAGGTGGAGAGGCCAGTGACAAAGGATGTGGTGTTGCACCTCATACCATCAACAAATCTTTGAAAGGTGGTTGTGGCCAGGAGAGGTGTCTGAGAGCTGGAAGAAAGAAAATGCCACCCAGTTAAAGGGCAAGAAAAAGGATCCAGGGATCTACAGGCCATTCAGTCTCACCTCAATCTGAGGTCAGGCAAGTCAATCACTACTCAGGCTGGGGTAGTGCTGACTTGCATTATTTCAGTGTGAATCACCAGATGCTTGGGTGATTAGGACCACTGCCAAAGCAATTTCATTAAGTCTCTTTGTAGGATTATTTTGTTATCTGTCTGGACAGTTTCTGCTGGAAATACCTGTCCTAGCCTGTCTACTTGGATGAACATCTAGGACTACCTGGGGAGAAGATATCTCAGAGGGTAATGCGGGAGAAAAGGCAGTTTTCAAATAATTCAGTGGTCAAATTTGACACATTAGCATGCAAAACTGTCAGCCTCCAGCAGAATACTTGGGAGAAGCATGGTAGTGTACAGAGATGTACAGAAAAAAGGTCCAGCATGGTTCTGTCCTGCAAACAGCTTTTGCTCATCATGGTGGTGAAATGTCAAGCAATTAGTTGACCGCAAGACAATTATATCTTCTGCCAACTCTAACAAATTACTACTTTCTTTGTATTAATGCATTTATTTCAAAATACTATATTTGTCACTTCACAAACAGTTTGCAGTGGAAAAAAATGGCAGCTAGGTGAATGAACACAGCTTGTCTTGTGTACTGAACTTCATGAACTGACTTCTTTGGAGTTTTTGAAGTGCAGAGAGATAAGCAGAAATCCCTGGGAGCAAAGCTTCTCCCACAACATCTGAAAGCAGGGGACTGGACTTTCTTCTCATTATTGTGTAGGATGCAGGGACCTCATCTCAGCAGAAACCTTGGGCCATGACTATAAGAAAGAACAGATGTAGAAACAATTATCTGTAAATTGCATGCATCTCAGCTTTGTTAGGAAAAATCCTAAGCACAACAGCCAATAAGCAACAAACTTATAATCCCTTGAGTAAAAATTAAAGACGGGTTTTACTTTTATAAGGTAAGCTCGGAAAATACTTGGAATCAAAGAAGGTTTTTGTCACCAACATTTGATTTTCACTGATTTCACTGTGAAATCATAGAAACATTTTTCCATGACAGGCACAAATGACCACCAGCTTCCCATATATATTGTATGTTAGTTGTGTGGCATGTGTAGCTGGAGCTTGTGTACCTTTACCCATGCATCCTCTCTACCCTCATGTACTGAGTAAATTTACATCCTTTCTGTTTAGAATAGTGGAGCTCATTATGATCCTTAGTAAAAATATATGAAGGAGAGGAAATCAGAGATTAAGAGTACTTTGGTAACCCCCAAAGTGCAAAGGCATTATTAGCATTTAACAGCCATTGCTGGCAGTGACATTTCTAAATGCAGCAATTGACAAACAAAAGGGAAATATTAGTTTTTGAACTCATATGGATGGTGCAGTTTCAAAGCACTTATAAGACATTCCAAACAGGAATCCAGAAATGCAGAAATGCAAAGGTCTTTAGCCAAGTCCCTTCATGAACAGAATTTTACCCTAAAAATCCAAGTTGCGTTTCTATGGAGCATTTTAATTGGATATGTCTGGACTTAAAGAAAAGAAGTACTTGTAACTTCAGTCATGAATCAGTATTTCTCTGTTCCGTGGTAGGATTACTGTTCTTTCATCATTGTCTTTTTTTTTTTTTTTTTTGGTCAATTTTAGCTCCAGAACTTTTGGAATACCTTTAACATGTTCTGTAAGTGTTTCTGCCTTCATTCATCTTCAGACAAATGCTTGTCTAGAGATCCTTGTTCTTAATTAACCGTGGCATGTCCCCAAAGTAATATTGCTATTATAAAGCTATACCAAACCATAGGGATTCACACATTCCCAGCACTGGTCAGTTTTACTCCATTTGTGCCTCAGAAGAAGCACTGCTGAGCCACGTACATTCATTGCAGAAATTACTGTTTAGAAGTGGTTTAAGTCAAGAGGTTTAGCAAATAAAGGAAATTCCAGAGATCTCAAAGTACTTTTTACTGTGATGTGTTATGACTGCACATTTGTGTTCCTCAAACCATGTAGTTTAGTGCAAGGGTCTGGTCCACTCTGCTGATAAAATGATGAAAAGTATGTGGAGTCGTGTTCCAAGAAGATTATCATCAGTTAGGTTCTTCCCGGACTGATTATTCATCTTTTTCCCTGCTCATGCAGATGTTACCCCCGCATCAGCCTTTCCACAATGGTAAGCCTCTTTGCTCTTCATATAAATATTTATACTGAAAAAACAGGCAGTACAAGTGACTTGACATTTTTTGAAAACATAATGTAGGCCTTTGTAGTAGGATGGGGCAAGAAAGAGTGAGTCAGAAGATCTTGATTCCGATGTTTCTTTAAGACTTCCGAGAAAATGAGTGTTTATTGTCTGTCTTTCATCTTAGGCAGAGACCTGGTGGTTTACAAGATATTTCTGGAGATTAAACCCCACTGTTATATTTCCCTACAGAAAGGCACTTTTAGTCACCAATGCCAACCTCTTCTGCTCCAGCAAATGCATCTGTTAAGAAAGAAATACTATCAGCAGGGCAACAGGTGGCATATTACAGCCAATCTTTAAAGGTTATAATAAGAGGGAGTGTGTGTGAGCGAGAGGAGAAAAACTGGAAAAGAGGGGGACTAAGGTGAAGGAAAAGGCAGTGGCAAGCATTTTTTCCTACTATTGCACTTACAGTGTTCTGGAATAAAAGTCTGATGACTTTGCAACACTGGGGTAGGGTACTGCCCTGGAAATGCATTTGCCCATTGTACTGTTCTCTGTTTGCTTAGAAGGAATTCAGAAGGGATTTGCTTTCTCTTGTTTCATGAGCCCCACGCTTTCACACTGACCAAAGTGGATACACACCAGCTGGCCACGTCCATCACCACCACTGGGTGGGAGAATTCCTGATTATACTTAGATCCCTCAGACCCCACTCTGTCACTTGCAGGGAAGCTCTGCTTGCACACCGCTTCCGAAATGCAGCCGGCTGGGAAGTCTGCACGCCGTGCCTGAAGGAGCTGGATGCCTTCTGGATCAAACATGAATGACCTGCTGAAGGTGCCCCTGGTGCACGTCCTCACCCTGTCAGCTCTCAGCTTGGCTGAGACTCTTCTAAAAGGTTTGCTTTTTTCCTGCTCTTCTTCTGCCATTTACTGAAGGAGGTTTTACAAAGGGGAAGGCATCTCTGCTAACAGTGGGGTGGGTGGTATTGTAGCGTTCCCGAAAAAGACAAAAATGGTCTGCTTTCTATGGTCAGTTCTCTGCTTTTGGAAGGATAGCAGTAAAAATATTCTCATATTTGTGTTTGGAATGGAATTCTTTGTCTGTGAAGAACACGTAGTCCGTTGTAATAGGCAGGGGAGACCTTTGGGTTCAGCTTGAGTGGGATGTAAATTTCTCACGTGAAAGGAAGCTCAGAAGTGTTAATGGCTGGTAGCACCAGTTGCTGAAGAACACAAAATCTGTTGTGTTCAGCACACCTCTGTAGGTTTTTAAGTATAAAAAGCTGCAAAAGAAATAAATATCTATGATGTCTTTATAAAGTATACGTACACAGGTACAAATATGCACTGTTTGTTGTAGCATATAATATGGGAGTTATCCTACCTTCTTCCTATCTTGTGTGCACACATGCATATGGGCATATGCTCACATACTTGTAGCTAACAAAAGAATTGGTAAAAGTATTGGAGGCACAAAATGCAATCGTGGTACCATTCTGGATGTACCATTTGGTAAAACTACGGACAACAATATTTCCTGAACGGTGATTCAGAGTTACAATTTAAAACTTTTGAAATTCAATGCTTACTAGAAATTTTGCAGCTTCAGGAAAACAAAATGAAAGGGGAATGCCAGTATTCCCATGTTAGGCCAACATTGCTGCTCTTGCAGGGCTATGCTTTTACAATTGTTAGTCAGGTTATTCCCAAAATGAAAAAAAAACCAAAACCAAAACGTATCTTATTAAAAAGGTTTTGAACTAAAAATATTGGTATATTCATAAGGCATTGAAGTAAGTTTGTGAACTTTACGCTTTTGAATGCTGTGGTAAAATAAGTGGTATTGGAGAGACAAGAAAAACAAAGAGGACAGGGATAGATTTTTTTCTGGTATCACAGTGTAATGAATAGACACATTCCCTTTTCTAGGACATCACAGCTGAGCTGCTTTTTACCATACAAACTGCAGTTTCTCCAGGTGTTTGCAATGTTGCAGAGGGACTGGTTCTCTTTTCTGTATTGTTTTGTTTGCCTGGTTGGTCTGGTGACTCCAAATCCAAAGCCAACACATTTGGAAGCTTCTGGTGGGCTGGGGACAGAAGGGGATTTGGCTTTCTCATGGTCCCGTGACCAGCCTTGGGTCATTTTTCTATCTTCGGAAACTACAGCTGACATCCAGAAAAATGGCACCTGTGTGGCTTTACACATATGTAGATTAATTTATTTTCAATTTATTTAAAGCCACAAGGATCCCTTAAAAATATCAGAAAGGCCCAGTATACGCACATGGAAAGGCCTGGCTGCATTTCTATGTGATGATAGATATGTCCATACACTTTTCAGATTTTATTTTCCTATGTTAAAAAATGGTAATGCACACATAATGAGTTTAGAGTGCTTTCTGGAGAAAACGTGGACTGACACCAGCACCCAAGGTGATTGAATAGCTTTTAGATGTAAGTACTATCTCAGCCATTTTGGAACTCTGTTGCCGCCTCACAAAATGACGGCAAGTCTCACTGCTCGCTGTCCTTACTTGGGATAAATATCACAAAGGTGAAAAGAGCATAAGAGAAAATGATACATCCTTGTTGCTGTCATGGTTGCTTTCTGAGGATATAGAATTGGGAAGGCAGCTTTGAAATGATTTCCTGTTACTGTGGTGCTGTCAGTTTGGTCACTATTTTCTTAGAAGCACGCGGCTTGAGTCTGCCCAAAAATCAGTATGCTAGCTTTCAAATGGGACGAGGTCAGAATATTAATAGATGACAGAATATGCAATATTCTGTCATCTATTGAATAAAAGACACACTTAAAAGCATATAACTGCTTCTAGAACATTTATTTAATATAGAGACCTGATAGGACTTCTTTGCCCAAAGAACAAAATACTGTCATTATGCATACCAGCTCTTGGCACAAATGTAACTTTATTAAGTGTGGGAGTGGCTGTGTTTACTGTTACAACAATTATAAAACTAGTTGCTTTGAATTATTGTTACTGTAAAAATTTACATTTCTCAGGGTTAGAAAAGCATCCTTCCAGAGATTGAGGAATGTGGACAAGAGCAACAAAACCATACTATATAAAACAACTCTGGGGTTAATGCAATTAAACCCCGATAAACTTTGTCACGAAATAGCAGCCTCTCATTTAAAGCAGACAGGATAACCATTGGTGGGGGTTATTCTCCTAAGACAATCTTCATTAGTAGCAAAATGAAGACTTTATAGAAGTCTTCCATTTGGTTTCACTGGCATGGGATTCATCTGGGGAACAATATAGATGATTATTTCTGTTTAATGTGACCCAAAATGACCTAATAAAGTGATGCAAGCTATAATTTGAAGCAGTGATCTTAAACAATGAACTCGTCACAGACTTCTTCTAATTGGAGTTTCATCCATATGACCTTTAGAGCTATCTTAGATGTAGTTTTGAGATTTACATAAGTGTAGTCATTATTGTTAACCAATTATATATGATCCAAAGTCATACAATCTAGAAATATTATTGAGGCAGATTCATTCTAATCAAACATCAAAAGCGTTTAGAGTTTTACATAAACTTGATAGTGGAAGCTGATCCTTTCTTCCTCTAGCTTCATTCTGACAGAACTCCAAAGACATTCTAATTTTGACTTCCATGTAAATTGATAAAAGGATTAAGGTATTGATTTTCTATTATTCTCAGTCACTTAAATCTGAATGTCTTCTCTTTTGCCCATTCCTTTGGGAGGGAAGGGTAAAATGGATATAGTTTATTTTTTGCCTGAATTTGAATCTCATTGTACTATGAAGGGCATTGTACTAGATACGCAGCAGGTGGGATTCTCAGTGAAAAAATAATGGGCCAGAAGCTGCTATGCTCTGTGAGGAACAGGAAGACTCCGGAATCCATGATGTATTTTCAAGGTAGTGTTTCAGGAATATAGTAAAAACTAGTTTATCTCAGCACAGTTGTCAGTGAAATCTAGTCCAACCAATAAGGATGTGTGTCTCTTGCAGCCATTTTTCAAGATATTCAAATGTTTTTGGAGGCAGTGGCTGCAATGAATAACATGAGCAGGAAAGCGAGTGGCTAGGCTTGTGCTTTGATCCCTTCCAGCTGTGCTTCAAGTCTTTCACCAGAGCGATGGCAAATGTTTCTAAAGATGCATTCAAGTAACATACGACTACAGGTCTATGATAATAAGCATTAGACATAGCTATTAAACTTCTAACCCTTATGATTTTTGGTTAGAAAATGTGAGAAAATGAGAATGTGTCCTAGACGTGACACAAATCAGAATGACCTGAATGGTCTTTGTGAGCCTGGCTTAGAAAAATAGAGCGCTATATAATGGGTTTGGTGTTTGTATGTAACAGGTTTGTTGTTGTTGATTGTGGGTTTTTTTGTTTTTTTTTTAAAAGATAAATAGTTGTGTGACAAATGACAAAAAAAGCCCACATCTCATGCACTAGTAAGGAGGCACTCTTCCCACTCCAGAGGCAGGACAGCTTGGCTTCAATTTGTGTGCTGCCCCTTGCACTCCCAGCCTATGTAATGCCACCCTTGTAGCAGTGGGGCATCCTCACCTCTGTCCTTGCAGTATGCTCACCTATTGCTGTGAGTCTTGAGGAAAAGGTGGATCAGAAACACAGGATGCACTGAGCTTGTTGGAACTTGGTTTGCTGTGTTTTGCATCTTATGGAGAGACCTCAAGGGAAAATGCCATTGAGTGACCCTGCAGGAGCATGGCTCCCTCCGTGTTTGGTAGGCTGTGTAACTCTCTCCAGCAGGCACCAGAAGGTGTTCTCATTTTTTCTTCTTCACACAGCTCCCTTGATCAGTACTCCTCTGGAAACAGTGGATGCCCTGGTAGAAGATGTTGCCAAGTTTGTCTGTGTAGTGGAGTCATATCCTGAGCCGGAGATTACATGGACACGCAACAGCATTCCCATCAGGTAGGGAGCAGTCCCAGCCCTCACCAGCACCCCGGCACCTTCTGCCAAAATTGGCAGTGCTTCTTTTCATGATACAGGAGAAATCTGGAAATATAAAAATTGGTCTGTGTCAGGAGAGAGCATGAGTGGCTGTAATTATCTAGATTCTGTATTTCTGAGGGAGTGGTAAGAGCACTTGGGGGTTGCTCTTGCACCTTCACACATTTGAGCTTGCAGAGAGTTGGTTTCTGCTGCAAGGAGTTTTCTCTCCAGCTTCAGACAATTCAATGTGCTCTCTTCCTCAGTTCATGCATTTATAAAGGAGGAGGATGCTGTATAATATTTAAAAGGAGCTCAGCAGGGCTTGTTGTCTGTCTCAATGTTCTTGGAAACTTTGCATGGAAGGGGTTGTACTGTGCCATTCTTGTTAGCTTCTAGTTCTGGATCTGGAAATTATCTTCTCATTGTTATGCACTGTCAGACATTAACAACCAGACATCGAGATGTCAACAAAGAAGACAGCCTTCTGGAAGTGTGGCAATATGTTATGGAAGTTGCTACCATTGTAGGAACTCTTTTGCTGTAGACAGGTTTCCACAAAGTAAACTGTACTCGATCTTCTAGCTCTGAAATCACATTACGTCTGCCACATGGCTTCACACCAGTTTCTCATTCTATATGGCTGTAAGTGACTTCCTCTGTTAGGGAAAATGCAGCACAACACAACTTTGTCAATATAGTCAATACCCAGCCTCCAGAGAGATGTGCTTGCTGGGCAGATGGCCACTTGAAGTATGGTTCTCACTATTGTGGAGAAACATCCAAAAAGCTTTTAAACCATTGGCATAGGACACTCCAAATAAGTCTGTAGCAGAAGGAGGTCCCACTGCTTGGAAAACTGCTTTAGAGTAGGACAAAGCAGAAAGATACAGATATGAATATAGACCTTCATAAATATTTTTTTAATTGTCTGCAATCTCAGCAAAATTTGCCCTAATCTTCTGACCCTAGCTTTGTTCCAGCTAGGGTCAGAACTGGTCTGAACTTCAATGGATGTAATTTCCAAATCAGGCTACCTTCTGCTAATTCTTTCCCCATTGGTGACATCATGGCTGAAAATCAAAGCAGGGAGAGAAAGCCATCCATGAAGAACTGTCTCTTTCTCACTCCATGTCTTTAAAATTATCATTCTCCCTGTGTTCTAAGGTAATTTGAAATCCAGATAATTTTTCACCTCAATCCCCTCTTCCAGAAGCCAAACACATAATTCTTAAAACCATTCCACTCTCTGTCTGAGACACAGTGCTTTGACCAAAATGGAAAATAAAGATAAAAACACCTTTTCTGGTAAGGCCATAGAGCGCAGGTTCTTCATTCCTTCACAGGGACTTCTGAAGCAGCATTAATAACACCAAGGGTTTAATTTCACAAGGCATTAATATTCAGTACTGCTAGATACAAAAGCTCAGACCAAAGCCAGAGGAAAAGATAAGCTGAATATATTTGCTACCCTCTAAAAACTCGGATGAAAGTATTTGTACAATGAAAAAGCATCAGATCAGCAGACACTTTTTTTCTGAAAAAAACCCCATATAAATATGTTTCTGTGCCTCTATGTGTGTGTGTATCAAACTTCAAAGGGCCTAGTTATTGAAAGCAATTATATCAGTTATTTCATTTCCAAAATTTTCTTCTCCTACCAAGGTCCCAGCATCCTGGACAGACAGCAAGATTAACCTTCAAAACAAAATAGTATGTAAACTTTCAACTTCAAAGGGAATAGAGCCAGTGCAGAGAATAGAGTCAGCAGTAGTCTTCTGGAAGTGCCATTCCTTTTGACATCAAAACTTTTGCAAGTAAACCAGCAGGTGCTCTGTCCTGAGTGAAATTATTACCTGGCCCATCTTCCAGAACAGGGCTGTCCACAATAAGCCTTCCTTAGGACAAGAATGGGACAGAGTCAGCATGCCTTTTACACTATGGATGGCTTCATGGCACTCTTTCTTCCCAAGCTGGAAAAGAGGAGAAGATGTAATAATGAGTGGTGAAGTGCTGTTGAAGAGAAAGACATGCCGAAGCCATCATAATGGTACATTCAGATTAGTCAATGACTACTGTACAATTTTTAACAGTAAAAGAAAAAACCTGACATATGTAGTGGTCAGATACTTGTGATTGCTGGGGATAAAATCCTCAGGTCACAACCCTTTTTCCACTGTTCATTGGAATAAAAGACCTCTTGCATTAAGGTGCTTCCTAAAAGCATCAACAAAGGTGTGAAAATAGACACTATGAAAAATAAATTTCTTTGTGTTTTATTTATACTATTTCTTTATATTTATCATAGCTTTGCAATGATAAATATAAAGCTCTTTGATTTCTCCTCATCTTTCTTTCTGATTTCTCTGGCTCTCCCACTTGAATACACACATTCCTCCTACTCACATACCACACTTCTCTTGTCATGTTCACATATGAAATTGGTCTTTGCCCCGCATACTTTGTTACAATATCCCATATTTTTGTTGCTCCCACTTCAGGGCTTTCTGCAGTCCTCTGAAATATCCAGGTTAAAGCCTACTGTCCTTAAACCATAGCTATCCTTGAATCCTCTAACTTTCAGATGACTTCAGCACATTTCTTTGCTTGTTTGTTGGTTTGGTAGGGTTTTTTTGCAAACAAAATAGGCAAAACTACTCCAAGATGTAGACACAAAAGTTCACGATCTTTGGTTTGTGTCTTTTTCACAACCTTAAGAATATTTCCCTAACTTTGTCTGTTTAATAAAAAAAATAATTTTTAAACTTTGTTTTGTTTTGTTTTCCTGAAAAAGGTTTCTTTAAACAATTTCAGCCAGCTCTATTTCCTATATAAGCATCTTTCTCTTACACTGAACAATGATACATAAAACAGGACCTGGCTGGAACAGATTTATTGTGCTTATGCCTGTCTTTGGCCAGTCAAAACTCCAACATGATGCCTACTGATTTTACCAATGTCTGGGTGACGGAAGAATTGTCATTACACTATTGACAGTCAGGAACTGCGTGGTCTAGTGAAACCCTGAATCTTAATTCTGAACTCAGCATTTTCAGTACCTTTCCTTCTGCTTGTAGGTTGAAAATCAAAGGTAGAGCTTATTTCCATTTGTAGTGACATCAGCAGGCTGCATATTAAAATGCAATTCCCTTTCTCTGTCCGTGGTTGTCCCTGACAATCCATTCTGTGCCCTGCAGGCTGTTCGACACACGGTACAGCATCCAGAGGAATGGGCAGCTCCTGACCATCTTGAGTGTGGAGGACAGCGATGATGGGGTGTACTGCTGCACAGCAGATAACGGAGTTGGAGCAGCTGCACAGAGCTGTGGGGCTCTCCAGGTGAAAATGCGTAAGTGGGAATGCAATTTATTCCTGATGCCACGTGAGTGTTTAATGGAAAACCTGAGCAGACTCCCACTTATGGCACCTGGGGATCCACATTCAGGGCGAACCCATGTTCTTGGGAAGATGGGTGTAGTTCTTTGAGTCAGTGACATGGTGTATGGGATCATAACTTAATGCAGTCGTGATTATTTACCTTGAATAGCACACATTTGTTCTAAAATCAGAAAAAAACCCTGATGCTTTGGAGAATGCCCTTTGTACAAAACTCTGTAAAAGAGTTTGATAGATTAGTCCTCTGTGGCAATACTGGATAGGTCCCTGGTGAATTTTAATTGTAAAATTTTACCAATCAGATTTCCTCCTGAGGATGGCAAAATTAACTAAATTATGTTCAGATGCACTCAATAGCCGTGTTGAATGGTCTGGAGCACCATGTTGTAAATCTCATCATCCCACATGGAAGGCAAAAGATTTCCTTTTGCTGAGAGCTACATATGTGCCAAACTCAGTAAATCTGGACTCACATGGCAAGAGTTATTTACACAAGCACTTCAAAAGGCAGTATATAGGAGGTATATAGGAAAGGATTTGTCTGTGCTAATGAGATGACCCTCAAGGTCTGATAATGCTGGAACTCTGCGTCATCCCCGTCACTTGCAGGTGGTGGCCAGGAGATGATGCTCTCTGAAACTTGTTTTTTTGCTGGTTCATTATCATGCAAGGGCCTCAAAATGTCAGATCTCCCAAAGTACTGAGATAATAATCCTTTATACTCTCAGCTCAGACTAAGGCAGCCCATGTTCTTTCAGTAAAATGAATTTAAATGTATCCCTCATTAACTTTAAGGGAGTTTGATTGCTTTTTCTTTAAGGCTCGATTGTCCTTTTCACTGGCATAGTTATAAATCCTTCAGTTGTGGATATTAATTGCATTTACATGCCCTTCTTGTTGAGCCAGAGGCAAGCCTGGGTTAAAACTCTTTCAAAATCAATTCAATCCAGATCTGAGCTTTGAGACAAGAAAGTGTTTACACAGTGAAAAATGTCAGAACCTGGAATGCTAACATTCTTCAATACTGGAAATACTCTTATCTGAATTTGGATTTTAGCCCAGGCCCTAATTCAAATGACTGTCAAACTCCACTCAGGAAAACAAATAACCCATGCAAGTTAGCTGCTTTTGCAGCTTTTAAACTGAATGCTGTGCTGAAGAAACTTCTTACCAAATAATTTCAAAAACGAGAAAGACTGCTTTATCTTTCAGCAATACACAGAAAAAAGAGCAGATTTTTGGATGTAATTTCTGAATTTGTCTCATTCTGTTATCTTGTACCTTCATTTCAACTTTAGTTTTTGGCTTTTAAAATTTTAGGACCCAAAATAACCCGCCCACCTGTAAATGTGGAAATAATAGAAGGATTAAAGGCTGTTCTTCCATGCACTACAATGGGGAATCCAAAACCTTCTGTTTCATGGGTCAAAGGAGAAACAGTTGTAAAGGTGAGTAGGAATGTTTTTCAGTAATACTAATTATTTGCTAAAGGAACTGTGTTAAATATTAGCATTAATTATAGTGTTTGCAAATTTTAGTAGCTAGAAAGGAAGCATTTGGAAAATCCAGGGCTCATCTCATAAATACCTTCATTTGCAATGATTCTACATACGAACCAAATATTCTCTGTGTATCTATATTTTATGTGATATATGCTTGTCATTACTAAGTATGGCCAAATACTGAGGAAAGCACTTGTGAGTGTTCTCCTAAATAAGAGCTCTTTTGAAGCTATAATTCACTGATCTGCAAAAATAGCAATGGGTCAGTGTGTCATGACAGTGCTGAGCAGGAATAGCTGCTTGAGTTGTAGGACATGTATAGTGTTCATGCATGTAAGCCCAAACTTTGTAAACAGATTTTTGATGCTGTTTGTGTGCAGCCTGCATATAGAGTCCTCACCTCAATGGCTCCTTCCTCCGGCAGGAGACTGCTCGCATTGCCGTCCTCGATTCTGGGAATTTAAGGATACACAATGTTCAGAGAGAAGATGCAGGACAGTATCGTTGTGTAGCCAAGAACAGTTTGGGCACAGCCTATTCGAAACCTGCAACTGTGGTTGTAGAAGGTGAGTGACTTTTGAACCAGTCTCAAGCTCCATGTGCCAGCCCCTCATGCATACCCAGTTAACTTGAATTATCCTGAAGTATTGTGTTGATGTTGTCAGAACCGCCCTAGAGAGTGATAAAAAAAGGAGGAGGAGGAGGAGAGGAGAGGAGAGGAGAGGAAAGGAGAGGAGAAGGTTTTTGCCTTTGTGGACTTGAACATTTTCTGCCCACTAAATGAACACTAAATTGGTTTTTTAGTTTCTGGTCCTTATGTACTCTTTGTCCAATTCTTATGTACAGAAGGTATTTGTTTTGTGGTGTGAACCACCACCAGTTTCAGAGGGCTGAGAACAGTAGACAGAGCCCAAATGTTGGCAAAAAGGCACTCTATCTTCCTGAATCTTATAAGAAATTTGGTTTGGGCAAGGGCTTGTGGAGTGAGTGGGGAAATGACTAATACAGTAGATGAACAAATTTTTATTTCTTATTCAGGATGACTGTAATGCAGAAAGTAGAGAAGGGTCTTCATTTTCTTAGTAAGCTTCAAAATACTATTTAAGGTTACTTTTGGGCTGGAGCAATCAGAGGCTACTTAGCATGCAACCCAATTTCTAAGAGGAACATAGACTTCCTTCTGGAAGCAGTACCAGATATATTAGATCCAACTACACATTGGTAGGTCTGCTATTTTGTTAAAAAATGCATTAATTTTTTTGGGTTTTTTTCCCTCCCTTTTCAATATTTATACATACAGGCTGCGTATACTAAAAATTCCTTAACTTTAAAACAGAAAGGCAGATATTCTTAACCTAAATTCAGGCTGTACTTCTCCCATGCTAAAAGCAATGAAGCAAACTGAAAACAGTGGGATCTTGATGTAAACAGCTTGAGTCCTGGATTTTAGTTTGGCCCCTGTCATTGAGACAATGGGCAAAGGCTTGTCAAGAGTCAAACTGTGAATAGCAGATACTTGGTGCTATGAACACAAACGCTGAAGGGCCTCTGTCACTGCAACAGATCTTTGTTCCAGATCTGCCAAAGCCAGTTAGGGAATCTAAAAACAAGCTGGAATTGCACCAAAAATCCAGGCTGCTTAGGTTGATGTCTTGGTTTTTCTCCATCTCCAGAATTATGCAGTGGCCTCTTAATTCAAGGACAGGCAAAATAAATCACAAATATCCTTCTTGGGGTGTGTACGTGTGCTCTTTTTAAAAGGAAGAAGATTAGTTTCTAATTGATCAGTGGCAGGTCAATGCTCCCACACAAATTGTCCCCTCATGTTCCATTCATGTGTTGGGTGAACAAATAAATGCTCTCCTCCAGGCTCATCTTGGTTTCTCTGGTAGGACACCTGCATAATATACCTAAGTTCAGGTGGCCACCCAAACTAGACAGACATGTTTGGTTTATATTTTTGGCTTCCAGAATCCAGAGGTATTAATCCTGACTTAGTACACAGAGCGAACTGTGCAGGATCCATTTGTTCAAACTGACAACATCATTCGTAATCCTGACACAGCAGCTTGCTGTGCATACAAATCCCTTTCCCTCATGGTATTTTAGATAAATTGTCATGGATATTTAGCATAACTATATGTGAGCATACCTGTGTATGCCTGCAAGTTGGTACACGTACACATCACCCTCACACACCTTTTTCATTATTTTTAGTATCCCTCTCCTCCTGTCTCTCATACCCCATTAGTATCAGCATTTTAAAATAACTACAAGTAAATAATATACTAAAATTATTCAGAGCAGGAAAATCACATTCTTTGAGCATTCACAGTCTTCATAAAATTTATGAAAAGTGTTGTTTATTGCTTCTCTGTAATAACATTATAATTTTTTTTTCAGTCCTAGTCCTAGTATTTACTGGAGTCCCCATCCTGCATAGTATGGTTTAATATTAAAATAAAATGAATAAGCGTGGCTGGTTAACTAGGAATATTTAATTCAAGGCAAGTGTCCATTCAAGGAAAAGTGTAAATATTTATGCCTAGCTAGAGCTAGATGATGGATCCTGATTAATTGTGTGCTTCCATTTAAATGGGTCTGGCATTAGTCCTGTGTGGCATCCCACCGTTGCATGGAAGGGAGCACCCAAGGACCATAGGTCCTTGTGGTTGAAAGGAATGACAAGAGTGCATACAAAAGCTTACAAAGTTTTATTAATAAATTACGCATTTGGCATGAAAATACCTATGGTAATCCCTGACCTCTGTATAAACATGGGGCAGTGGGTTTTGGATAAAGGGCTAGGATGAAAGGAGGAGGGCCTGAGAGGGAGAGAGGGGTTAAAGAGGAAGAGAGAGAATGAAAAGAATAAAGGAAGAGGAAGGTGTTACCAGTCCTGGTTCCAGCATCAATCCACCTGATGGGTCTGCAGGCCCCTGGAACACATGTGTGTCCAGGCTTTGTAGTACTTTTTATAGTGAAGCTTCCATGCACTGGAGCTAAGTTTCTCACTCTCTAGGCAAATGAGTTATCATGTACAGCCCATTCTTGTTGACCTTTGTGGAAAGGGGTTGGGGGGCTTCAGGGATCTTGGGTGCTCTTGATTCCCCCCCTTACATTCCAAACTGGCTCATCAGCATCTTTCCTGTGCCTCAGCTGTTCTCTGTTGTGCTTAGCTCCGGGAGCCAGAACAAGGACACTTGTACCAGAAAGGGACTGTCCTACTTCCATTTGGCCCCTTTCTCCAGACATGGTTGGTAATAGGCCACCGCTACCAGCAATCCTTGGTTGGCTCCACAGCTACGTGGCTATCAGTGTTTGAGATATACACATTAGCCCCTTATCTTCCAGGCTCCCACATCCTGCAATTAGCTTAAGGCATTGTTCAAAGTGCAGAGGTGTTCTTGAAAGACTGACTGTCTGCCTTCTGCAGGCAATCAGGCTCCTAAATGTGCTTTTGATCAGGGACATGCTTAAATGACTTGCTCAAGTTGGCTGAGAAATTGCAGCAAGTCACAAGTACATAGAATGAACTGTGCAGGATCCATTTGTTCAAACCAACAACAGACTTGGCTCAAGAGTTTACACTACTGAGGTACCTTACAGTACTACTTGTCTGGTTTCAGTGGTCCAAGGTAGAACTATTTGAAAAATGTGGTTGTTTTGATTTTCCAAATATTTTTTCCTCTATTCCTTGTCATCTTTGCTCTGCATTCATAATACTGACCTCTATTTATTACTTTTAAAGCACAGCTTTAGTATTTTTAAGGTTTTATTATTTTTAAAGCAAAGTTGAAATAATTTGAGCAATAAGCTTTAGATGAAAATTCAGATGCAGTTCTTGTCAGGGAAAAGAAAGCACTGAAAGCCTCTTTTAGTGGTTTTTCAAAAACTGAATTTTCAGTTTTCATCAGTGAATGTTGTGAAGGAGATAAGGATTCTGTAGGCTCTTCACTCTGCACAGACCTGTCCGAAATTAGGGCAGCCTCTTTACTTTCCCAGGGCAGGTTTCAGGAACCATGAATTATAATAAGTTAATCCTGGGTCAGGATTTTAATTGAAAGGATTAAAAAGCCTGTCTTTTTGCATCTTTTATCCAAGTCTGGGGAAAACTCAGATGAATTTGGACAAGTGATGGTGCAATAGATTTTTTTCTTTAAAGGCATAATCCATAAGTGGTAGATGCACAATCATAATGGACCTAATTGTTTGGTTTGTGGGAACCAAGGAACCAAGCTCCTTACTGGGAACTGTACTGAGTCCATGGATAGCACTGCCCTCACTCAAGGTCTGCCTGGGGTGCCTGGGGGTTATTAGGAGAAGAAACAGGCCATGGAACATCCCCTTGATTTGACATCAGAGAACAGGCTCTGGAGAAAAGGTATGGAGAAAGGATACAAGAAGCAAGCATTGGTCAAGTCAGCCAAGTGAGTGACTATGCAAGACAGGCATCACTCCTGAAGGAGAGTTACACACAATTTTTATGATCTTGACGTGTCCTGTGGCATTAAAATGATGCATATGCTCTTTGGTTTCCTTCTGAGGAATGTTTCAAAGGAGTAGGGTTGGTGCTTTCTGACATCTGCTGGGGTCATTATAAATTAGTTCTTCACTAGTGAGCTGGTTCACAGCTGTGCAGAAGCTGCATGGTTATATTTTCCTCACTTGGTTCTCCTAGTTACAGCCCACTCAGCTTATGAGAAAAGGACTAGTGAAAGTAGTGACATGAAGGAGAAGTTCAATAGGCAGAAACAAGCCTTTTCCACAAAGGAAAAGGGTTTTGCTTTCTGCAAAGCCAAACAAATAAGAAATGCTGAGTCTTTTTGGTTTGCTAAAATTAGCATGTGAAGATTACTTCCTCTTGCTATGTTCATCCAGAAGGTAGAAGGTGCATTGAGATACAGAAGGTAACAAGGTAGAAGGTGCATTGAGATACAGAAGGTAACATGTGCATTGAGGTAAAGGAACAATATTATAATCTTGACTGTTTGCCAAGAAATGAGTTTTTAATTTCCTGGAGGCAACATTTCTGACCTGCAGTTTTGTATTAATTTTATATCATCTTAAACATTTTGCTAACTGGCTTTTTAATCACTACATTATTAACTTTGGTAATATAGACTTCTGAAAAACCTAGAAGAGTATTTATACACTCAGTGAAGCAGTACATTGCCAAAGCAGTTCCACAGATTTCTTGTTGTTTGCTGTATTGATTATCAAAGTGAATCTCTGGCTGAAGGTTCCCAAATTAATCCAAGATTCAGGACTATGGTTGAATACAGGCATTTTCTTGCTTACCTGATATGTAGTTCACACAGATGTCTGAAGGCTGAAGTTTATTGACAAGATATTGACTGAGATGGCTAAGATGTTGCACTTTTATCTGAAATCACTCATTTGGAAATAGAGAAGCAGTCATTGCCATCAATAGTGTTTAGACTTGTCATCAAATGCAGAAATTACCATTGATGAAAGGGAAAACTTAGAACAGGGTATAAAGATTTAAGCTGTACCTAGAAGGCATTTTTTGGACCTTCTCTGAGCATTTGAAACCTGTAGGTCT